AATGCAAAGCTGCACTGTCAGCTTCTGAGCCTTCCACTGAAAATTAAAGATGCCAGTGACATGAGTCAGGTACACATTTGCAACAAATGTGATGAAAGAATAAATAATAAATAATTACAAATGGAAGTAATCCATTTTCAGTTCATAGCCCTTATGTTGTAATGCTGATACTGTATCAATAAAAGACAAAAATGAAGCGAAAGTGGCATTACAGATCTACGCTGCTAAAAGAAGAGGATTGTGTGTTCTTTCTTCCCCTATTATTGGTTACAGGAGCGGTAATGGGTGGGAGGGAATAGTTTTGGGGTGTGACATTTAAGAAAAGAATTCTTCCCTTATCAAAAACCACCACAGTGTTCTTCAGTAATGTTTCACTTGACAGCAGAACTACTGCAATATCTGGAGAGGTTATTCTAGAATACATTAGTAATTTTAGTAGCTATGGTCTGTAATGAGCCGAAATGGGTGCTACCAAGTGAAGTTGCTATTCCCCAGTGAGTGCTCAGGCCAATATTAGGCACCCTTTTTTTTCAAAGTAGCATATGCTTTAAGGCCAAAAGCGACAGCTCGGTCATCTAATCTGACCCCTTGCATGCAACAGGTCACCAACACCACCCAGCACCCACAAGATTTACATCTGGTGTTTTTATAGGCTCATTAAATTGGTGGTTCATAGTCATCGTGTGATTTAACTAACACATGCAGGTCTTTCTCCTCTGTCATTTCCAGCTGATAGCAAAAATTCTTGGTGTTAGTCCCCTAGTACATGACTTTATACTTTGTACAGCCTGTCCCCGACTTACAAACGAGTTACATACCAAACACTAGGTTGTAACTCGATCTGTTTGCAAGTCGGATTACATTCACTTACATATGGCCACGCTGTTCGTAAGTGCGGATTTCATTAGTAACTTGGGTTCCGGCTGTATAGGAGATTGGTCGTAAATAAAAACGATCGTAAGTCGATGCGTTTGTAACTTGGGGACCAGCTGTACTATTAAATTTCACCCCCATTTCTATACTCCAGGTCTCTAGGTCATCCAATTCTTTCTGTGTAATATTTTGATCTTCACCTCCCAACTTTTTGATACCAGCAAATTTAATTAGAACAGTCCTACTTTTTGTGCCAAGGTCATCAATTAAAATATTAAATATGATCGGTTGCAAGAGTGATCCTTGAAGAATGCCTTTGGTAATCTCCCCCTAGCCCGATAGTTCTTTTAGCATAACCCATTGACCCTTCTCCTTTAGACAGTTCCTTACCCACCTTAGAGTTCCTGTATTAATCCTCATTTTACTAACCTCCCCATGTAGTACCATGCTAAATACTTTATTGAATTTTAGACAGATTTGATTCACTGCATGTCCTTTGTCTAAGAAATTACTTATTTTATCAAAAATCTACCTTTGATAATCCCATTTTCATTTACCTTCAGTCTTAAATTAGAGTCTTTCCTTCAAAACTTGCTCTAAAATCTTGCATACTATTGATATGAGACAAACAGCTCTGTAGTTCCCTGAATTCTCTTTTTTCCTTCCTTTAATATAAATAACAGTTTGTTATTCTCCAATCATACGGTATTCTTGCTACCTGATTTGTAGTTTCACATGTCACATCTTTCAGTATTCTGGGATGGAGTTTATCTGGTCCTCCCCCAATTTGAGAGCATTAAGCTCTTTGAGCTTTGTTTCTATTTTGGATGTCATCATTTCAATTTTCATACACATTCCCATTAGCCTTCCTGCCTTTGCCTCTATGTTCTACATTCTGCTCTACAGTTGCTCGCCTGGGAGCAGGAGCCCTGCAGCATGCTATTTTGGAAGCAACAGAAAAGCTTAGGAAGCAACCTCACACTGTACATAGATGATAGACATGACCACACAGCTAAATTGTAAGTAAAAGAAAAATAGATCTCAAATCCAAGCAATGTACAAGGCTTCTGAGCTTAAGTGTTCTATTACAAACACTGCAATGTGATTTAATTTTGGTTTAAACCTGTTTTTTTTGTTAAAATAAAGGAAAAAAGAAAGCATGTCCATCCAAAAAATAATCAGGAAAAGATACTACTCAGTGTACCTAATCCCTTCCCAAATCAAATCTATTCTGAAAACCTACAGTAATCTCCTTGGAGACATTAGCACATTTGCTAAAAACAAAGTGTGCCTTGGAAATGAAACTTAAAACATTTAACAGCATGTCTACTTCATAGATGCATTGTCCACATACATTATGAAACTAGTGACTGTCTTTCCAGAATAAACTGCCATCAACTCTTTTTTTCCTGAAGTACCACAAACATTACTGACTTACTGGACAATGAATATAACTGAAGTACTCGATGCATTATTTCATGACTTAAATATCCATTAAGACACAAGGAAAACAGTGAACTGACTAAAAAGAAATAATCACAAATCTGCTATGTACATTAATAAGTATTAGGTATCCCTTAAATGGGAAATCAGTATTCATCCCATTTTAAAAAATTATTCTCTTCAGTGGTGGGAGGCAAGTGCTATATTTTGGGAATCCTTGCTTGTTCAATTTTAACAGGTAGTGCAGCTTTAGCTTCTGGTAAATGTTAAAAATGAACAAAAATAAAAAACAACAAAACCTTCACATCACCTCCTTTAAACCAATTAAATGTACTTGTAAACCAGACTTAATGGAAGCTTAGAAACTGGAACATCCATGGGGAGGGCGGGGAGAGAACAGATGCCACTATGAAGTCATATGAAGAGAAATATCATTGGGTTTAGAATAACGGAGTGCAGCTTGCATGTACCATGGGCCAGATTGTGCAATTAACACCCAGACTTCTGGTAGGAATGGTGTGAAGCTGCATTACCCTAGAGGAAGCTCTGGGAAACACCATTTCTCTTAACACTCCCCAGCACTCAAGAGTGTGTATGTTACAGTATCTCTCAGGATCATGCACCTGGCTCTTTAAGGTGCACTTTCCAGGCTGTGCTGGCCTATGTGAAAGGTGGCAGGACTGTGTCGCATCAAATCTCTACTCCTGTTTTAGTGATTTGTATCCATAGCAAGCTACCTCTTGCCTCACCCCTTATTTGTGGCAACAAAAACCTCCCACTGCAAGCTAGCCAATTTCACACCAGACTGGAAAAACCTATGGCAGCCCTTTCAGAGCAGCTGTAAAGGTGGGGTTTTTTTTGTTTTTTTGCTGTTGTGGCAGTGCAGAGGACTAGTAGCATGGGGCAAGATCAGGCCTTTTGTCTATTTAAATTGCACTTTTTTGATATTCTGTACAATTCCTTATTTTCCCTCTCACCTTATTGGTTAAAAAAAAAAACTGTCCAGAGCGAATTGCCCAACTACTTTCTTGAGCTTTCATTTTCAATTTAGCTGATTTTTCAGTATATAAACTACAGCCGCATTCCCACTGCTCTAATTTATACTGGGGACTGGTCTGACACCAACAGGGACTGCAGCACCAGGCTTTCTGCCATACTTCCACTGCCACTCGAACTACTTTGAGCACGGAGATCTGGACACCTGTATTATTGATTCCCTAGGATTATAAGCATGCATTGTAAAAATTCCTGCAGGGGACTACGTTCTGCACTATGGGGTATAGAGATGGTTTCTCCAGGAAGTGGTTCCACATATTGTATCATTTGGTACTGAAATCACCCTCCAGTTAATTCAGGTATCCTGGTGAAAGCCTTTAGGACTGATGTCCAATAGCCTAGGCTTTTGCCTAGAGTCAAGTTGGTGGAATCTCTGCAAGGAAGTCAATACACTCAGGCCATGTCTCCAATTACCGGAGGATCGATGCTCTGGGGTTTGATTTAGTGAGTCTAGTAAATCAAACACTGAGGGCGCCCCTGTTGGTGCCGGAATTCCTCACTGTCATGAGGAGTAAGGAAGTTGATGGAGCCATTGGGGAGATGGCACCAACCTTGGCTTAAGGTACGTCAGCACCAGCTACATTATTTATATGGCTGGAGTTGTGTATCTTAAGCTGACCTTCTGGGTGTAGTGTAGACGTGGTCTTAGATACATCCTGCATTCAATTGACTCAGTTTACACATAATACATGTGGGGAGATCTTGCCTGGAATGGCGTTAATATTCTGTATCTGCTTTGCAGTCTGCAACTGGGATTGCTACAAAACAGCAGTGACAATTATGTTGTCTTTGTACACTCTCTCTCTCTCTCTCCCCTCCCCCCCAGAACACATTTTATTCCCAGACGCATTTTAGATTACATTTAAAAACCTAAATACTGTATGCAAGCAGGGCCGGCCCACAACACTTTGGCACCTGAGGCGGGGAGCTCAAATAATGTCCCCATGTCCCCTTGCTTGGGCCAAAACTTTGAAAGGTCTCAATTCTGCCTTCTTCCTGTTCTACTCCTCTCAGGGTACTGCTCTGCTACCTACCCCAATAAAGAAGTACTAACAGCAGCAGACACAGTTTTCTACACTCTGGGTTCTAGTGGTGCCCCCCCACAGTCTGGTACCTGAGGAAGTCGCCTCAGTTCACCTCATAGTAAGGCCAGCCCCGTATGCAAGTCACCCTGTGCTCCCTTCAGCTGATCAGTGGAATGTTGATTCTTCAGTGGGGCAACATATTTGGTCTTTTTTGTTTCTAAATTCTCCACTTTTTTCCATTTTCTTTTGACTTCCATGTGACCTAAGCTTCATTTGGAAACCATGTGATATGTTCTTGCAAAAGGGGAGATTCTTAAGAGCTTTTTAATCTAGTAGCAACATAGTCTAACGGCTGGAGTAGGAAACTGTGATTAAGGAGACTTGAGTTTTATTCCTGACTCTGCTACAAACTTGCTGCATCAACCTGGGCAAGTTACTTAATCTCTCCATGCTTCTGTTTCTCTAATGATGACTGCTTTGTAAAAAGTTTTGGATATTCCCCTGAAAGACCCTCTGTAAGTGCAACGTAGTACTGCACGATGTTATGTTCCAATGCCATAACGACACCATATAAATCAACATTTTTATAAAATCAACCATTACCTTTCTAGCCTCTGCATGGTCATGGCCAGCGTCTTGTTCAATTCCTCGATCATCCGGCACCCTGAAGGGTAAATAGGTTGCGAGCTGGATCCAGAAGGCAGATGCTGGCTGTGGCTGCCGTAGGGAAGCTGGTGCTGGTGGGCGGCTAACTGGGATGGCAGTACAGAGTGATGATGTGGACCCAAAGGCTGCTGGGAACTCTTCTGCATGGAATAGGATGCAAGAGAGAGGTCTGGTCCCCCTAAAGGCATGCAAATCATGACTTTCTTTGGAGGTAGCGGAGGCGATAGTTTGACTGGCATACAAGAAGGCAGTTTCATAGGAGCCCCAGGATCTAAAACACAAGGATGAGAGGCACAGACATAAGTTTCTATGGCATTAAAAAGAAGACCACAGTATCTACTTAGGTAATCAGGCCCAAAGGCAGCCAGCACAAACAACACGTGACTTTGCATTCAACTTGCCCCTTTCTGGTGACAGAAGATGCTGTGCCTTAGCAATTTTCAGAAGGGGCGTTTTCACGTTGCAAATTCTTTAGCCTCACAAAAACAGTTCAGGACTCTCAATAAGAAATGCCTTTAAATATGTAATCACAAGGTCTATGTAGTGGTGCTTTTCATTTCAAAGTGCTTCCTACCAGGGAGTAACTCCGACAACATCCCTATGAGCTCTGTGTTATTATCCCCCATTTAAACAGATGCCCAAAGTCACAGAATGAATCTTAATCATCACAGCAGGGATTAAAGCTCAGGAATATCTGGTTCCCACGGCTACGGTCTGACTACTGCACATCACATCTCACATTTTTGCAGACCGTTCGGTGCAGCGGAATTAAGCTAAATAAAAAGAATCATGAATGGGGTATAAAGATAATCCAGCAAAAATGGAGAGAAAAAGCAAACAAACTCTGTCTTGGATTCCCATGCTATGGATTTTAATCATTTAAATTCCATGCAGGATTCCTTAAAAATACATAATTTGTAGGATTTATGTCTGTGGGAAAGATTTCTGTTGACTTCCCTAGGAACTGGATAAGGCCTCTGAGGTGCATATAATGAAGACCAGGACAACTATGAGGAGATCTAATTTCAATGCACTGGCTGCCCGAGCTCGGCAGGGGGAAAGCGACTTACTGCATTGAATTTATGAACATTTCTAAAAGGTCAGAGAGATAGTAAAAGGAGCTGAAAGTTTGAGAACGAGGAAAGCTACGGAGAAGTAGCCATTTGGAGTTGGGGATAAGAGAACATGGGAGTTTACACTAAGAACTGATGTTGCCCGAGGTTATGAGGAAAAAGAGAGATGGAAAGGCCTCCTGAGGTTGAGAGAGGCAATGACCTAAAAGAACCCTTTCAAGTCTGGCAAACCTCTGGCATTCGGGTTCTCTACAGGAATTCTGATAGCATAACACATTTAGCCTCTGCTATTTGAGTTTATCTACCTTGCTACAATACAACGGAGTGATAAAAGTGCAAGTGCCAACAGCTTGTTGGGACTTGACCAAGCCTAGCAGATAAGCTGCAGCAGCAGCAGCAGCAGCAGCAAGCAGCAGCAGCAGCAGCAGCACAGGTTTCAAAGGCCATAACCAGTTTGTGAGCTGCATCACAGTTTTAAAAGCACCGTTTCATGTTTGCACTACCTAGCTCTAATCCCTGGCCTGGATATTAATTTGTCAGCAGTGGGGCCAAACCTACTAGTTAGGGTACAGTTGGCTCCCAGGGCTATCACTTTTCCAAAATATCAAACTGATAAAAAGCTAGAAGGCTACAGGGGCAAAATTTAAGTCTGACATTACTATTAATTATTAATAAAAAGCCCTACAATAGCACCTGACGGTCCCACCTGAGGTAAATGCCTTATTGTACTGGGCACTGTATGCACATATTGTAAGAGACAGACCTTGCCACCATGAATATACAATCTAAACAGATAGCCAGCAAAATAATCTAAATCTTTTAACTACCCAGCATGTCCTAACCATTACAGACCATGTTCTTTCCACTGGAATCAAGGCCTGTTGCACCTACTTATGCAGGGTTGAAGAATGGCCCCTGTATTTTCCCAAAAACATGAATCCCCCTGTACCATTTCCTACACAGTCAATCTTCTAAAGGAGACTGGTTTCCACATTTTGTAATCAGGATGTTTGTGGGTTTTTTTACCCAGACACAGAACAGGCTAAGTTGTCACATCTCTTATGCACATAGACTCATAGACTTTAAGGTCAGAAGGGACCATTTTGATCATCTAGTCTGACCCCCTGCATAATGCAGGCCACAGCATCTCACCCACCGCTAGAATAATCCTCTCACCTATATCTCAGATATTGAAGTCCTTGAAACGATGGTTCAAAGACCCCAAGATGCAGAGAATCCTCCCGCAAGGGACCCGTGCTCCATGCTACAGAGGAAGGTGAAAAATCTCTAGGGCCTCTGCCAATCTACCCTGGAGGAAAATTCCTTCCTGACCCCAAATATTGCGATCAGCTGAACCCTGAGCATGTGGGCAAGACTCACGAGCCAGACACCCAGAAAAAAGTTCTCTATAGCAACTCCTATCTTCCCACAATTGGCCTATTTACCACTGATAGTGAAAGGTCAATTAATTGCCAAGACCATGTTACCTCATCAAACCATCCCCTTCATAAACTCATCTAGCTTTATCTTGAAGACAGATAGGTCTTTTGCCCCCACTACTTCCCTTGGAAGGCTGTTCCAGAACTTCACTCCTCTGATGGTTAGAAACCTTCGCCTAATTTCGAGTCTTAACTTCCTAATAGCCAGCTTATATCCATTTGTTCTCGTGTCCACATTGGTATTGAGCTTAAATAATTCCTCTCCCTCCCTGGCATTTATCCCTCTAATATATTTAAAGAGAGCAATCATATCTCCCCTAAGCCTTCTTTTGGTTAAGATAAACAAGCCAAGTTCCTTGAGTTTCCTTTCATAAGACAGGTTTTCAATTCCTTGGATCATCCTAGTGGCCCTTTTTTGTACCTGTTCCAGTTTCAATTCAGCCTTCTTAAACATGGGAGACCAGAACTGCACACAGTATTCCAAATGAGGTCTCACCAATGCCTTGTATAACGGCACTAACACCTCCTTATCCCTACTTGAAATACCTTGCCTAACACATCCCAAGACTGTATTAGCCTTTTTCACAGCCATGTCACAATGGCGGCTCATAGTCATCCTATGATCAACCAAGACTCCGAGGTCCTTTTCCTCCTCCGTTACTTCCAACTGATGTGTCCCCAGCTTATAACTAAAATTCTTGTTATTAATCCCTAAATGCATAACCTTACACTTCTCACTATTAAATTTCATCCTATTACGATTACTCCAATTTACAAGATCATCCAGATCTTCCTGTATGATATCCCAATCTTTTTCTGAATTGGCAATACCTCCCAACTTTGTGTCATCCGCAAACTTTATTCGCACACTCCCATTTTTAATGCCAAGGTCAGTAATAAAAAGATTAAATAATAATGATCCCAGAACTGATCTCTGAGGAACTCCGCTAGTAACCTCTCTCCAGCCTGACAGTTCACCTTTCAGTATGACTTGCTGTAGTCTCCCCTTTAACCAGTTCCTTATCTACCTCACAATTTTCATATCGATCCCCATCTTTTCCAATTTAACCAATAATTCCCCATGTGGTACTGTATCAAATGCCTTACTAAAGTCGAGGTAGATTAGATACACTGCATTTCCTTATCTAAAAAATCTGTTACTTTCTCAAAAAAGGAGATCAGGTTGGTTTGGTACGATCTACCTTTTGTAAAACCATGTTGTAATTTGTCCCAATTGCCATTAATCTCAATGTCCCTAACTACTTTCTTCATCAAATTTTTTTCCAAGACCTTGCATACTACAGATGTCAAACTAACAGGCCTATAGTTACC